ATGATGTATATATTTTTAATCTGTTAAATTCAGCTATGTTAAAAATCAATTACGCAAAAAGAATCACAAAAGAACATGTATGGTATCAAAGGTATGACGTAATAAAATATTAAGTAAATATATTATGTAATTATTTAAGTAAGGATTTTTATGGATTCATTAATTTTTTCTAAATAAGCGACTTTCAAAATTGAATGAAAAATTGTTTTATTAACTTTAAAGAACATAGGAAAAGTTTTATGTCACGTATATTGATCATTTTTTTTACGAGAGTATACTTTTAATAATATATGAGTATTAGTACATATTTTGGATTTCAGAGTTTATATCTATTTAAATATTTTTTTGAATTTCATGAAAATTTCTAGAAACAAATTAAATAATATGTCTACAATTTTAAATCAAAAATAAAATAAAAGTTTTTAATTTTTAGGCTTATTTTTAATTTTTATAAAAAAATTAAAGATTAATAATTATTTTGATTCTTAATTACTAATTATGTAAAAATCTTATCTCATAAATCTGATAAAATAGTGTGAAAACACAAACTTATAACAAACTATAAAATTTAAAAGTAAAAATTAATAATTTAAAATATTAACTGCTTTATTTAATAATATAAAAATTAATTTAAAATTTAAATATATTTTTTTTATTCTGTTTATAATTAACCTGATTATAATAATACTAAGTTCACCTAATTGTTTTGTAATAATTCATAATAAATTATAGATAATTATAGATGTTGCTGAAATGCTAACAAAATATTATTTCCCATCAACTTTTTATGAAAAAAGAGTAATCAAGAAAAAAAGCAAAAAAATTCATCATCAAAAAACTAATAGATTCTAGTGAAGCTTCTAAACTTAGTTTCTAAAATTTAAATAACTTAGCAATATTATTTTTAACCGAGTAAATATACGTTGAATGCGAACGCCAAGGCTACATTAAAACAAAGAAAACAAAATAATAATTAAAGAAGACAACAACTTTGGCCATTCATCTTTTGATGCTTTCGAGAAATGAGGCCATTTTAGCGTATCTAGAACGTTTTTCAAAGGAAGTATCATTAATCATCATGATATATGGATAAGTTATATTATAAATACAATGTTTTTATGATAAAATCAAATAAACTTAAAACATAGTTAAAAAAATATATATTTATGTGTTTAGTTAATATTGAGATACAATAAATTATATTTACATTAATTTAAAATATAAATACACATTAACATTGTTTATTGGTAATCGAACTTTTTAAGAAAATTGAAAAAAAATATTAGATAACACGAACATATAAATGTATTATGTAATGATATTTTTAAATTTTATGTTTTACACTTATGATGAAAAAATAGTAAATTAAATTAGAAATATCTATATATTACACAATCGTGTGAAAACAAAATATGATATTTACGGTATATGGTTATTGTCTTATTCCCAAAACACCATCTTGTTGTATAATACGCTACTATCTCAAACCTTAATAATATCGAAAAATAATATTATGAAGACAATTTCTATCTTCAAAAAATATGAATTTTGATTGTAAAATCAATTAATACATTTTATTTATATATTAATATTATTAAAAAAATTTTGTTTTTGTTTATATTTATATTTTAAATATTTAAATAAATTTTGAGATTTAGTTTCAATAACAAATTTGTTAGAAACGAAAATATTAATGATAAGTTTTAATTTATAACTTATATATATGTTATATAAACTATATAGTATGTTCAATTATTAATTTATATTTAATAAATTAATATGCGTTTTAATATTTATCTTTTATACCTATTTGGTGTAGTACTATTTTATTCGCAGTTACTTGCTGAGAATAACAATAAAAACAATTATTAATAAAATAACAATATACTTTTAGCTCTATGGTATGTACTATCATCAAAGCAATGGCACGTGTTTTATGCATAAAAAAGTATACGTCACGCAGTCCTATAATCAAAACAAATAGCAGTCAACAACGTGGGCGGAAAAATACCTAAATTAAGAAAACATTGATCTTTTATTATAATTGATAATCATGTATATAATCGTATTTTAAACGTGGAACAACGCGATAACTTTGTTGTAGGTATACCAGATGGATAAGTGCGGCGATTTGTCGATGGTTTGCGCATTTAGCCTACCAATGTCGATAGTTAATACAACGGCCGACGGGAGGATTTCAATGCAGTTAAATGTATTAGTTGGCTATTGTGTGTTGACACAGAAGGGGCCGCATAATTAAAAGCCCCGTCAGCGTTAGCTGATAAAACCACTACGGTTGACTCTATATATTTATATGTTATGTTTATGCGTTACTAACTGTAACAAATAAACATATATTATTACGACTAGGTTTTAGATTTTGATGCCCTAAAAAGTCACATAACAATGCAAAACCTCCATAAAAATATTAAAATATGCACTACTAAAAAATACGTTTAAAAATGTATTTTTACAATTTAAAAAATTATTCAACGAAATCATACAGTTGGCCAATGATAATTCTTTTTTTTTTTGCAAGACATATATAATACTAAAGACACTGAAATAAAGTATCGTTATCGCCTCTTAATTCTTTAATTATTTATGGATACTAAAACGGTAAACGACGACTGACAAGTGTTATATAATAACTACTATCTGACCACTATGTATTAACCCTTTGCCGACTAACAGAACTTTTGAGCCCTCTGTACATTTTATCCATTTAAACATAGATAAAATAAATTAAGTACCTACTATCTGACCATAGAGACTTAAAAGTTACACCATTTGTAATTGATAACAATGATAACATTACCGAAAATTTTCTATGAAATCAATAGATGGCGTTTAATACATCACTTAATAAAATAATTATAATTTATCCCATAAAATAAATGTCAATATTTACATAAATAGTCAGTAGTCCAGTGCGAACCACTATAGATAAGCATTGGGTTTTATTATTGGTATTTTCATTTTAATCCCGAGAAACAGAATGTATTATTGAATAATATTATTGTTGTGTATAAATATGTTATAATTGACAATAATCGCAGCGGACTTTTAAGTCCCTATGGACTATGGTCTACTGTGACATTTATATAGTTGACGAATATTTTCATAGTCACGCACTCGCGCGCCAAGTTTATTGTTTATATTTTATTCTTTTCGTTCTTGAGTATTGAGTCTGCTCGTTTGTTATTTAAATTTTACTCGTTTATTTTTAATTGTAAAATGAATACATTTATTAAATTAAATGATCATAAGATTATTTATATGATAAATTATGAGTTATAAATTTATAATATTGAACATAGTAACAACTACATGTTTTAACTAAAATCTACAATGTAAAAAAAAATGACCATTTATTTTTTGATACAATAATTATTTTCTTTAAGTTTATATTGTTATTAATTTAAAAAAATAATTATATTATTATTTTTCATGGTAATTATATATTTAATTAATTAATTAATTTAATTTAAATTAATTATTACTTATTTATCATTGGAAATAAGAAAATAGTAGTGCTGTAACGGACTATAGTAACTTTTTAAAATATACTGCCTTAATGACCAATAGGATTTAGTCCCACTAATCAAAAATATATTAAAAAACCTCCAATTTGAAATTTTATAATTTTTAAATTCATCAAAAAAATAATAAATTATAATCGTGCAAAAAAAAAATTAAATTTTTATCATTATTTATGGTTGGTCTACAAAGGGTTAATATGCTAGTTTTTAATCCGACATTTAATTTTGTACTAAAATTCGCTTTAGATTCAAAAATAGATCAAGAACAATATTATAATTACTCAAAAAATAGTCTAAAAACATAAAATAATTCACTAAAAAGTTGAATTCATAAATAAATTCAAAATAAAAATGTGATTCAGATAACCTTGATCCTATAAAATACATTTTCCACTTGAGAAGATATAAGTTTTTAACTCTGTAAAATTTAACTTGCGAATTGCAAGAATAGATTTGCGATTTCTTGTTAATTATAACGAGTATTTTGATATTAGTTTGAAATGTTCAGAACAACATATTATAAGTGTTGGATAAAAATCCTTGAAAACTCATTTAGGGCTGGCGGGTTTGACTTGCAAATTCTTACTAATTACTTGCGAGATACTGGCACTATTCTGAACTTGTTGTAACAAAATATAAGGGCCAACTTCACACCGGTACGTTTTTAAGCACCAGAAATAAAAATGACATTGCATCAAAATCCCAGCTTAATTTTAATATACGAGTAAATAAAATTACAGATACTAATTATAACTTTCTCGGGAACCTAATAATTCTTTATATAAATTAGGTATATCAAGTATAAGTATACACAAATTTAAATAGATAAATATTGTAAGATTACCTCGAATTATACGTGTAAGAACAAAGTTGAAAAGCCTGTCAGGATATAGAGGCCGTAATAGATGCATATAATAATGACATGTGTTATAAATTATAATATTACATTTGAAAGGAATAACAACATATAAATTATCGCATTCGGGAAACAATTTGATTAAATCTGCTCTTCACATAGTATAACATTTTTCAGAAAATTATCAACGTTCGTTGGCAGTTTTTTATAACACTCCTAGGAAAGATACTATATTGATAAAAAAAAAAAAAAAAAAAATCGAAAAATAACTTTACGAGTACTAGAGTACCATCGAGATATCCCGTCTGGGAAAGCACTACGTGAAACTTTTAGGGTACATTCTTTTCGTCTGAATAGATATTCACATTAAATACAACCTACACACTTAAAACGCTTCGATCAGAATTTAAAAAAAAATATTTAATACATTAAGTACAATATTGCAGTAAGATATAAAAATTAATTACGGCGCGTACGAGTAATACAACAAAATACAATTATTGACTATTACAATATTATAATTATTTATTAACCAGGGCTATTGTTCGTATATAGTCTAAATTAATGTTATAAACCACAACTTGGTGTTTTGTTCGACTTACCTGTCATATCTGTCGGTGTACCCTTCTCGGTGTGGCTGTGTCGTTCGAGGCCCACCGGAATACAGGAATATTCTGTTAGCTCCTCGATACCATTTCACGGAGTGGACTATTCCACACTGGGTGGTGATCTCGAATCCCGTGGTCACGTTATTGGGTTCCAGTTCGCAAGGTAAAAACGCTGACTGTCCTATGCGTGCGTTTATGTCGCTTTGTTGTTCGCCTATATCGTACAAACAAAACAAATCAATCAATGCCTTAAAAATTAGCAAAAAATACACTAAAAAAAAAATCAAAAAAAATTTAAAAATCTTAAAAAAAATGTAGGACTTTAAAAATAAATCATTTTCATTACACCCCTATGCTAAAAAATTAAAAAAAAATCAAAATTACATTTAAAACAGATTTTCCGCTTACGAAACAATATTCTGTAAGAAAAAAAGACTACATCAAAATCCCAGCCCTAATTATACACTTATCGCTTTTATACGCCTAACCTCTGTAAACTCGACTGCACGATTAGCCGATGACATGTAATGTATATTATTATCGACTATATAGCGATTAGATTATGTATTAACGACTATGAGATGGTATTTATACACATTATAATTTATATTAAATCGCGTAGTCAGTACGGTGACGGGTCATCGCTACGGGTTGGCAGAGAGGGCATCGAGTTAAATCGTTAAATTAGTATTGTCCGTCGTTTAAGGGCCATTCAAAGGATATCCGTTTCGTTACAACCGGGCCTTCTGCGTATCCGCCATCCAATCGCGGGCACATAGACGATGTACAGCGGATTATTTCCTTTCCGGCGTAACGGCGGTAAAATGGCCGCGACAATAATCATTGTTAACGATTATTTTAACGACGGCGGTTCCGATTTCTATATAATAATAATAATGGTGTAATGTATAACGTTCTAGAATATTTATCGCCGACCACTTCCCCGATCCGATGTATATTATATTATATAGCCACCTGCGGCGATTTATAATAATAATTTAATAATAATAATAATAATAATAATAAACAACAACAACAGCAACAACAATAATATCGCTGTGTTCATTTATCGCGAATAGTACGCAGTAGTATATTACGTATATTTATATGTATATATATATATATATTAAACACGCACCAGAGAATCGGAGGGATGATGGAAATGGGATCATACAACAGCAGTGATTGCGTATTGTATTACGCGACGAGTGGTTGCCAAATGATTTATTGTGTATACCGTGTAACATAATACTATTACCTAGTTATAACTTATAACTTATAACCATATAACCCATCATATTATGTATTTATATTTTATACACAGTTGAAAACTCCCGGTCGCCGGCTGTCATTTTCTCGATGTATCTCGCGTATACGTGCGTAACAAACACCACTGTAGGCTCGATAAATATAAATATAATGACATGATATTACTTAATATTATGTATATAGGATTGAAACTTTTTTCCTTCCCGTTTGAAGAAATGTTGATATTACGTAATTTTAACTATTTCTAATATTATTGGATTATTTGGATATCAATTAGATAAAAACGTTTAGATGACTAATAATATAGTAAATTGTACTCGAATTGAATATTATATGTTGTTAATATAATTATTTATAATATGTACCTACATACTCAAATACACCAGATATCCTTTCCCTTATTGTTAGGTACTACGTTTCAAGTTTATCGGTTGTATTTTCCAAACAAAAATTAGCGTTTTAAAAAATATTTGTAAGCTTTTTTTTTGTCACCAGTTCGATTATTTTATTTTTTGTTACGATTTATATGACTGTTATACAATTATCAGGTTTTCAGGGTTTATTTATCTTCCAAAGAGTAAGTACCTATGTACGAGAGTGTACAAAACGTGTTTACTGACAATTATTTTTAGTGTATCAATAAAAAAAAAAAAAAAAATGACACTAGAGTCCTTAACTAGGAGCAATTTATTTTAACCGAAAAAACTGATGTACGTGTGTAACGGTAACGAAAAGATAATACGAATTTTCGAATTCGATTATCGTGGTAAATAAAAGTTAATTTTAAATTACATCTATAAGTATAGTTGTAAGAACAGTAAAATACACGATAATTGTAGTCTTGTAGAGCAGAGAAATCAAATAAAACAGCAACGATGGAGTTTATATTATGCAGTTACTCGGGCGTCAAATACACTATTGAAGATGTCAAATAAACGACATCACATAATTGGATCGTTCTTTGAAATGTTCACACATAATAAAAATAATAATAATAATAATAATAATAATAATATACTCTCATACAGACATCAGCCAAGCTTATAAATATATATTAAATACACGATATACAGTACGCGCTTAATATATCATTTAAAAACATGTATGTATAGACTCTTATAACACAACTCCGCCACAGACGATAGCCCGCACATACGATTGCATTTTCCACCGAATTCTAACGACATAATATCACACTGGCATTACAGTTAAGGATATGTTGTAGATACCTAACCAACCTATAAACGCGACGATGCCTTTGAGTATAATATATAGATATGTGTACGACACCCGGCAAAAGGTCGGTCGGCGATGGGTTTCCCTCGGCGTGTAAGTTATTGGGGTACCGTCGAAAACTTTACGCGCGACGTTCATTGCGTTTCTGTCGGTGGGATTGGGCGGGTCGACGGCGGCCGTTTATAATATATAACGCGGTAGTCGAAGTAATTCCGAGATGCTCGCCCGGTCGTATTTCTCGTCCTCATTCGAATAAACTTATTCGTAAAATTATACTCCTGCGATATATATTATAAACCTATCTACGAGAGCCGACGTAGGTTAGGTACCTATCCTCTGTACCCACGTACATGCGGATTACATTGTGTATATATTATACAGAGTGATTCACCAAACATGCTTTCTGCCATTTTTTCATTTAATAATGAATTTATTTAAATTTAAATTTTTAAATTTTTAAACACACTTGAGAACACATTTTAAGATTTATTAAGTCGTTTGTATTAAATATCATTTAAGAGTTTTACGTGTTGATATAAACTTCTATTTTTAAATGAGCAATGAGAATCACTTTTTTCATTGTAAATTATTAAAAAGATAATTTTAATGGAAATTCTGATATAAGAGCTACCTAATTCAAAATTCAAAATAGTTAGTAGTTTTCTCGTTATTAAAATATTTATAGAAAGGATATGGTTTTACAAGAATATAAAATAGATCTAGTATTTATTATAATTGAACGATTTTTACAAATTATAAATGTTAATAGATTAATAGGTAATAAATAATGTTCAAATTACCCAAGTCCCCATACTTCCAAACACTTTATTTTAGACTTCGTTCAAAATCTCCAAAAATATTATCCACCTTATAGTTTGGGTACCGTATAAAAGAAATTGTCATTTGAAAAAAACATAAATTTGTATCTTAACTGGACACTTCTTAAGTAGTTTAATCAAGTCTTTAGATTTTTAAAATATGTTATTTTGTAATCGTTAAATATATTTATAAATTTTCAAATTCAGATTTTGAATTATTGAATTATTGAAGAAGGGAAAATAAGAGATCATGTTTGGTGAATCACTCTGTATATTATATGAGGGTGAATCGTCGTGATATAAGCTCCGTTTAAATAAATAAATTAATTTATGTGTACGTACCATATACGCGGTTTAAAAAATCACAGGACACCTGCAGCACGCACGCAATAATATTGTTATCACACAGTCCATATTATTATGTGTTTAATATTTATATTAAACATTATATTATACACAGTACTGTATAGGTGGTTGATAGTCCCATCTGTCCACTTAAATACCTATATACATATGTGTATATATTATATGCACAACTGCGCCTCGTAATAAATCGTCGTTCTGGTTGTGTGCAGGTAAACGTAAAACGATATCGCGTCGGTATACGAATATATTATTATTATTATAATTTATTATGCGCCAAATAATATATTCTACCGCGTTTTTATGTAAAAATATTCTTATGCGCGCGTAATCGGTAGTATTCGGTACCGCAACCGCTGTCAAGTCCCATCACGCCGCGGTTAGACGAACGCTAACGACGTCGTTATGTTATAATGTATACACACATCGTACCTACACGTTCTTCATATTCAACGACAAATAATTACTATAAATCGCACCGACACAATAAAAATATAAATTATATAAATATCATACTACCCGCCGATACATCTTACATAAAAGTCACGTATATTTTGGTAACACCTATTGAACAGCTTTGCCCGCCAATACCAAATGTTGGGAAAATAATTTTTATCTACTCTATGCGTAGGTACTGAAAACGTTTAAAAGTGCCAGTGTTCAAATAAGGATTAATATCACGTCATACAACCAGCATGGTTCAATAGACAATATATTATTTGATCATCAATTTATTTTTGCGTTATAATTATTATTGATCGTTTTTTACTTAAACTTTAGCTGTAATAGTCATGCATTATTTACATTTTATTTACACGTGATTTTAATGTAAGGTAAAAGATTGACGTCGCGGTAATGGGAGGCATCACTCAATAATTAAAAAGAAAAAGAAAAAACCAGTAAAAATATTTTTAATTGAATTAAACAGTGTTCCGTTTATAAATCGCATCACATAAATCGTATGGTTTTAAAAACTCGATGAGATTAAATCGTTTTGAGCTGTAGAGGGTTAGGTCCGAGGGGTGAGCTGAGGTTTACGAAAACGTTGAAGTCGATTGGGTCCTGACGGGACATCCGGTTAGTATAATAATTACAAATTAGGATGACGTGTCTCGCACAAGGGTTCCTCACCCTTAGCCACACAATATAACGTAACTCCCGCAGATACCATCAGATTAGTCAAATGGCGTGACATCATTATGTCGGCCGTCTATCGTAACACACGATACGCTTTATTCGATGAACACAAAAAAAAAAAAAAAAACCATCTTACTCGTTAGTCGTCATTAGTCGTCGTTGTGGTGGCATTGCGATGACGCCGCACCATCGGCTAATGTGCTTGCGCGGTTTGTCAGCCGACGATCGTTGCGGCGAATCTGTTGTGTTTAATTATTGCACTTTGTGCTGCAGTTGGCAGGTATCTACGCCTACCCGTGCACATAATAAACGTATATTATGCGCGTACGTAGAATACGATAAAATGACATCGACGAGGCAGCAGCTCCACAGACTTACACACAATACGTAT